TATAACGTCAATCTCCTCCTCGTCAACCTCACTCTCTGGGTCGACCCAGTCTGGTTCCCACAGCTCCTCGTCGTCCTCTCGCTCCCAACCCTCGTCGTCAAACTCGTCCTCGACGCGGTATGGCGCCTGTCCTATGGCCTGGTAGTATTCCAACAACTGATGGCCGTATATCAGAGGTCGCCCGGCGTCCTCACTCCACCAGCTCCCCCAGTCGTCTGAGAAGAGCCGCCCGATGCAAGTCACGTACTCGGGGCCTGCTCGGAGCTCACGGTCTAGCCAATCCCAAACGCACGAAGACTGGGGCCACTCGTCGTCTATCGAGCGGATCGGCTCTATAAGCTGAACCCTATCGTCTCCCCAACGAGGCCCACCGGTCGCAAGCGAATAATAGATGTAGTCTAGGTCGGCAGACCTTCTCGCCAGGATCTTGAGATCCTGATAGGCCAGGTATGTCTCGACCACTCCACCAATACCTCCAAAGACGCTCTCTACTACGAACGCCGGAACTATCGCCCGCAGGCTCCTAACTCTGTACGGGAAAAACCCGTCCCGTGCTACCACCAGCTCGCCCGTGATATCAAGAGGAGGGCGTCCGTGAAATAGGGTCAACGGGTCGCTCGCGTCCTCCATTCGGAAAGCAGCTACCTCTTCCCCTAGGTAGCGTAGCGCCCTGCTAACTGCGTCACTAGTCTCCCTGTCGTCGCGAGGCCCACCACGGCCTCCCTGACCGCACCCGGTCCCAAATACAAGTAGGCTCTCACTACTCCCACTCCTTGCCTCGGCCGGTGCTCTCTGTACGTCCAAAGCCATACGTCCTCGGACAGGATTATGGACCTCCACGCAAACTGGCCGTCAGCGTGTCGAATGCTGCGTYCGGGGATCGTGAGCTCGACCACATCCCCCTCTATGAGTTCAGGGGGCTCTAAGTCCCAGTCAATGGTAGCCCCATAGACCTCTACTTGCACCCGCGGCCACATTCAACTGGCGGCTAGAGAGAGCGCGGCAAACGGAAGGTGTAGATTAGTAACTGAAATTTCGCGTCGCTTGCCGCACGCCTTTGAGAACAAGCTAGTAGGATCACTTGAAACCAGGTTACCGCAACGTCTCTTTCCCTTCTCCTTCTAGGGAATTCTTTTGTATTTTTCAATTATAAATTAAAGATAATGTATTTAGTTAAGATAAAATTTCTTTCTTAGTTTATATATTTTAAGGATCAATATTTATATAAGCCCGCCGAGTTTGATGCTTTTTAGGGGTAGAAATAAAATTTGGGGATTTTACTAAAATTTTGGCAGCGTTTCGCCTCCCCCCGTTGGGATGGGGTTCGGAACTATTGTCCCTCGACAAATGCTACCTACCCAGAACTAAAGCCAAATGAAACAAGAGGAAAGTCGCTTAAAGAAACAAATTTCTAACATATTTATAATTAATTTCCCTAATCGCTTTCAATATATTTATATAAAAAAAAGAGTTAATCATTTAAATTAGGAGATTTTTCGAAATTTCGACAGCACTTTGCCTCCCCCCCGGTCGGGATAGGGTTTGGCCGAAGGCCTCAAAATACCGACGGTAGATGTTTAACAAGAAAGATTAAGAACTGAAAAAGTATCTCAATCTTTAGCTAGTTTTCAAGTATTTTTTTTAATTATTTAAGATTTAATTCAAAAAAATTCAGCAGATTGCCGAGAAATTTTGGCAGCACTTTGCTTCCCCCCGTTAAGATGGGGTTAAGCGAAGTATCTCCCGAATCACAAAGTCGAAATAATGCCAACTCCCCTTTATTGAAGAATTTTAGATATTTATTTTGATTTTTAATCGATTTTTAAAGACAAAGTATTACTTAAAACAAATTTACAACTTAAATTATTTAATTAAAACAAAATTCCCAATTTTGATCAATTTCAATTTGGTCAACTGGATTTATACAAAATTTTCCCATCACCGGTCGGATAGAAAGACTTGTATCGACCCGGCTACGCACCGCCCTTCCCTAACTTAGGGTTTAGGGTTTACCCTAATTAGGGTTTCCCCCGATTAGGSCTTTGGGGTTTTGCGCGCGACCGCACGCCACCACGTCCGACTTCTCGAGGCAGAGAATTTTCCGTCGGTTTGTAGT